TTCGTACTTTCGCTTCTATTTTGTGTACATGCGCACAGACCCTCGGTATTCTTATAAACAGAAAACAACATCTTCTGTCTCTCTCTGTTCGTGAACACCGTTTCTATGTTACTTCTGAAGAGTTAGCGATATAGTAGTATTAGATATGGGTTAATTTAACTGCCTTAAATGAACTACTAGCAATCTTGTGTGAAGGATTAAGAAGTGTTACAATGTAAGGCATCCAGAAACTTATTCATAATTAAAAAAACAAAATCAAACGAGTCCTGACACAGTGAATTTCATGAAATCTCCTAGCAAGTGTTCAGTCTGAACAAATCTAATGCCCAGTTAACGATTAAACTCCTAACATAACCTGTGAATTTACAAACACTAAAACAAATTTACCGCACGTGTTAGCATTTTTTCGATTAGAAAACAAAGGCTCCATTTTATTAACTACCAAACCAACTAAATTTAACCTAACTCAAGGCGCCTTTTCACCATGATTTCACACACAGCACCAAACCAACAATGGCGCTTTCACCTCTCTACCAAGCCGCCCTCTTTTAACAACCCTCTAACTAAAATTTCAAGCAGAACTACACGCTACCCAAAAGCGCTAACGTGCACATGGTTGCTTATGTTTTCGGTCACCACAAGATAAAATGATTTTGGCAAAAACATACCTTCTCAGAAAAGAGAGGGTGGGTGGGCGGGGCTAGTATCTGCTAAGATAAGACTGATTTTGGCAAATGAGATATTCTCTAAGAAAAGAGAGGGTGGGGTTAGTACCTGCTAAAATAAGATCGATTTTGGCAGATGACATACCTTCTAAGAAAAGAGAGGGTGGGTGGGCAGGGTTAGTAGCTGCTAGGATAAAGCTGATTTTGGCAAATCGCATACTCTCTAAAAAAAGAGAGGGTGGGTGGGCGGGGCTAGTATCTGCAAAGATAAAACTGATTTTGGCAAATGACATAGCCTCTAAGAAAAGAGAGGGTGGGTGGGTGGGGTTAGTAGCTCCTTTCTCCATTTCACTAACTTATTTTATTTAGTGTAAAATGGCCATTGAAAAACAAAAAATTGGTCTAAAGAGTTTAGACAGTACTTCCCTCGCTGTCGGAAACTTGACGACTGCATGCCTATTGTGTTTTTTTTCTCATTACATTTTTGTAGTGGGAATTTAAAAAAAAATTGCGATGACGTCATCAACATTTTTGCAAGGACACGTATATCAGTTGGGATAGATGTAGTGTAATACTAAGAATAAAATTATTATATTCTCAAATTTTCGGGAAAATGAATTGGGTCGTTTGAATATTGATTTGTAATAATCAATAAAATAACGAAACAATTTACTCACGTATACCTACGTATCAGAGGCAACTGAAAATCGTGTATGTATAAACATTCTTAATTTAAGATGACAGGCGTAACAGCATACGTGAGAGCCAAACAGAGAAACTGTAAACAAAACGACCGTCGGTTTTATTGCTTCGACTTCCGCTTATTATATAAAACATTGGGTTTTATTTTAATTCTTGACGGTGAAATTCACAATTGGTTGATTATAAACATGTCTATTTCACATTCGCGGAATCAAGTGAACGCATAAAACAAATGCTACCCTTATGTTTCAACCGAGTTTTTCCTTTAACAAATTTTGTGTCTACCAAATTGGGTTGGTTGGGGTGTAATACTAATAATAAGTGTTGCCTTTAATTTAATCAATAAAATAAATTGACTTCATTAATTTTTTTGAACCACCTCTTAAGAAAATCTAAAAAATATGAATGGAATGATAAATCACAAGTACAAACTCATCATATTTTTTGGCTTTTAGATAGGATTATTCAGCAAAATTTAAGGGTGACGTCATCAATTTTTTTAGGAGGGATGAACAAATACATTTTGAACAAAAGTTTACCATGCTTATAATAACTTTAAAATATTCCCAAGATTTCAAAGCATTCGGTTTTGTAATTTCTGATTAAATCGATAAAATAAATTCACGCCTTCATTAATTTTTTTGAGTCACCCTGCATATGCAAATCCAAAAATATGAATGGAATGATAAATCACAAGTACAGACTCATCATATTTTGTACATTTTAGATACGATTTATTCGGCAAACTTTTGAGCTGACGTCATCAGTTTTTTGTAGAAGATAACCAAATATATTTTGACTAAAAATTTATTATGCTCTTTATAACCTTAAAACATCTGCAAGATTTCAAAGCATTCGGTTTTGTAGTTCCTGAGTAAATCAGTAAAATAAATTTACGCTTTCATTTATTTTCTTGAATCACCCTGTATATGCAAATCCAAAAAATATGAATGGAGTGATAGATCACAAGTACAGACTGATCATATTTTGTACATTTTAGATATGATTTATTCGGCAAATTTTCGAGCTGACGTCATCAAGTTTTTGGAGGGGATAAGCAAATATATTTTGACTAAACATTTATTATGCCCTTTATAACCTTAAAACATCTGCAAGATGTCAGAGCATTCCGTTTTGTAGTTCCTGATTAAATCAATAAAATATATTTACGCATTCATTAATTTTTTTGAGTCACTCTGTATATGCAAATCCAAAAAATATGAGTGGAGTGATTAATGACAAGTACAGGCTCATCATATTTTGTACATTTTAGATATGATTTATTCGGCAAACTTTCGAGCTGACGTCATCAAGTTTTTGGAGGGGATAAGCAAATATATTTTGACTAAACATTTATTATGCTCTTTATGACCTTAAAACATCTGTAAGATTTCAGAGCATTCGGTTTTGTAGTTCCTGATTAAATCAATAAAATATATTTACGCATTCATTAATTTTTTTGAGTCACTCTGTATATGCAAATCCAAAAAATATGAATGGAGTGATAAATGACAAGTACAGGCTCATCATATTTTGTACATTTTAGATATGATTTATTCGGCAAACTTTCGAGCTGACGTCATCAAGTTTTTGGAGGGGATAAGCAAATATATTTTGACTAAACATTTATTATGCCCTTTATAACCTTAAAACATCTGCAAGATGTCAGAGCATTCCGTTTTGTAGTTCCTGATTAAATCAATAAAATATATTTACGCATTCATTAATTTTTTTGAGTCACTCTGTATATGCAAATCCAAAAAATATGAATGGAGTGATAAATGACAAGTACAGGCCCATCATATTTTGTACATTTTAGATATGATTTATTCGGCAAACTTTCGAGCTGACGTCATCAAGTTTTTGGAGGGGATAAGCAAATATATTTTGACTAAACATTTATTATGCTCTTTATGACCTTAAAACATCTGCAAGATTTCAGAGCATTCGGTTTTGTAGTTACTGATTAAATCAATAAAATATATTTACGCATTCATTAATTTTTTTGAGTCACCCTGTATATGCAAATCCAAAAAATATGAATGGAGTGATAGATCACAAGTACAGGCTCATCATATTTTGTACATTTTAGATATGATTTATTCCACAAACTTTTGAGCTGACGTCATCAAGTTTTTGGAGGGGATAAGCAAATATTTTTTGACTAAAGATTTATGATGCTCTTTATAGCCTTAAAACATCTGCAACATTTCAAAGCATTCTGGTTAGCAGATTAAAAATTAAATTTCAAAATGTTGTTTTATAATTTTGATTTTTTTTCCAAAAATCTGGACGTTTCGGGTGAAAAGTCGATTCAGAGTTGTAAACTACATGTGTAGGACTATGTTATTTTATACAATTGAAAACCCATTTACTATGTACAATTTTGAAGTGACGTCATCGCATTAGTGGTGGGGATGATTAGACAAATTTTGGTTAGCGTTTTACCATCTACATGATATTCTTAATATAAGTACAAAATTTCACAACAATCGGTCGAGTACTTTCGGAGATTATCTGTCTAATAAAAATTCGGGACAACAGACGGACAGACGGACAGACGGACGGACAGACAGACGGAAATGGGAGACCTATTTCTTCGTCTTCTAGGGGTCATAAAAGATCGAGAAAACGTAAAAGTAGAGAGTCGGCCGACGGACTCGATTATAATACTTCCTTTGCTTACGCTCGGGAAGTAAAAATCCTAAATCCGAGAGAATCCGGAAGAATACGAAAAGAATTCAGAAAATATGAGAGAATATGAAAGAATCCGGACGTTTTTGAAAGAATCCAAGAAAATCTGGTAGAATTTATAACTATCAGAGTGAACCAGAGAAAATCTGAAAACAATTGCATAAAATTTGACGAAATCTTAAATAATACGCAAAGAATCCGAAGAAATATGAGAGAATACAAGAAAGTAATATAAGAGAATCGGCCAAATTCCGAGAGGATCGGGGAGAATCCGGAAGAATACAAAAGAATCCGAGATGAAACAAAAAAAAACAAATACAGTCATATTTAAAGACGCAGGGGTGCGAGGATGTTAATCACAAAACGAAAATCGCACTTCGGACACTGCGTATAACTTTAAAATGTGTGTCAGCAATGTAGGGTGGATAGCCGTCATTAGGGAATTTTTTCGCACGAATTGTCACGTTTCTAGTATTCTCTGGTAGATACCAGTTATCTCAAGCACTACTATTGAAAATTACAGTAAAAATAATAGACTTAAGTGGCTAGTAAAACCACATTAATTACTGTTATTGCCCGATTTTTTTTAAGAAGCTGAATACTAGAATTTCTGAGCAAATCAAGTAAAAATCCTTTTTCCACTATTTTTAATATTTTTTGAAAAACGTTTTAGCAACACTCGAGACAACGTTTTTGTTATCACTGTTATCGTAAATTGATGTACACTGCAAATAAGTCATTTCAAATTCCTGTTAAGAGATCTAGTTCTTACGCACTGACAAATTTTTGATAAATTAATCATTTGCCCGATATTTTAAAGGAAATCGGTAATACGTCCACTATGAGTAGTTTTATTAGTCATATTGTTTATTTCCCATTATCTTTTATCTCCCCTCATCAACATCATTAACAGTAAAACCTAAGTAAGGTATAATAAAGGTTTGACTCTCATAAGCCTCTATATAAACTACACCTATCAGAAAAACTTGTCATTTTAAAAATCAAACATTTAGTGTAAACTTCCCCTCTCGATTGTCTCCCACAACACACCACCATGGGCTGCCTCTCAGGAATAGCAAAGTACCTTTTATTTTTATTCAACTTCTTGATTGTGGTAAGTACTAATCAGTTATTTTTTCAGTAAAACGTATTCACTTTTTCAAACATTTAACCTCAACAAAATTAGCCCCTATTCTCAAATTATTAAAAAAATCAATAGTCGGTTACGTTACGTAATTACCACTCTTCTAATAATAGTTCTATCTTATCTAAATTGGCACGTTGTCTGCAGGTATGCGGTATAGCCCTCATAGCCGTGGGTGCTATAATCCTAGTCAACGAAAACAAGGGCCTGGATAGTTTCACCGATTTCTCAGTTGGTGGGTTCGCCATAGCTGTGGGTGTCATAATTTTCCTTATAGCCTTCTTCGGCTGCTGCGGAGCCATCAAGCAAAACAGCTGCATGCTAACAACAGTGAGTCTAACCACCCCCAATAAGCAAAAACTGACGACTTTTTTCAGTATGCAGTTATTTTGATCGTGCTTTTCATTCTCCAAATTGTCTTGGGAGCGTTGGCTTTCGTCGCCATTCGCAACGACGACGAGGAGTTGGACAAAGCAGTATTAAAAGTCGTGCAAGAAGTATTCGACGATTATAAAAGTACACCGACGAACGACAAAGAAAAAATTATTGACGAGATTCAACAAGACGTGAGTGGTTTATGGAGTTAGTAGTTTCAGAAATAATTTTGGGTTTCAGTTTGAATGTTGCGGTGTTAACGGTACTGCATATTGGGGCACTGACCTACTTGATAGTTGTTACGAAGGTGCGAGCAAAGGAAACACACTATACACAGTAGGATGTGCCGCAGCTTTTAGGGATATAATTATGGATAACATTAAAATTATCGGTGGAGTCGCTATTGGATTCGCCGTAGTAGAGGTAAGTGGTTGTGGATTTGGTGTCGAAATAACTATAGCAAAAATTTTTAGCTCGTTGGTGCAATTTTTGCTTGCATGGTGAGGAAGAAGTGAAAACTGACGTAATCTGTAACGCTATTTATGTACAAGTATTTATAACTGTTTTTAATAAAATTACAAAAAATTAAAAATTTTCGCGTTTTTACTCGAAGGAATCTTTGTCACAGGTTTGAGAAACAATGATGTAATTATGTGCGCTGTTAACTTTATCTTTGTCATAAAATATGTATTTGGCATAAGCTTACTTGAGCTCGAACTTTATCTTTTCTTAGAATTTCTAATTTCAAGTGTTTTTAAAGTTGTAAAAATATGGAGTACATGACTGTACATTTTCCACAATATAATCAGATAAGACGGGCAAATGTCGAATCAGTAATAAAGAGACCAAATTCCTAGTATTAAGTAATACTTATCGGAATTCAGATAGTACTTCCCCTGTTTTGTAATTTTTTTTCTGCATCCAATAAGATAAAGAAATAAACACAAGTCTTGCTTTTTGCTTTATTTTCAACAAAATAAAATTTGTCCCTATTGGTCGAAAGTGCAACATTACTCTTTTTTGATCACACTGCTTGTATAAACCGCCATTATACCAGCAAGAGTCTAAAACAATCCATGATAACCCAAGAAATACAAACCTTTGAAAAGGTACAATCCAAACAAGCAGACATAGCACAAAAATACCGACTAATTCTCTGTACCTTCTAAACTGATCTGAAACTGCATTGATGCAACCTCTCGCGTATTTTTCATCCTCTTTGCACGACTTGGATGAGCAACAACTTTCGAGAGGCGGAGTGGTCCATTGAAAATTACCATCACGTCCACAGCACTCGTACTAGAATCGAGTTAGTACTTTAGTTTACACAGATAAAGTAGTACCGTTTGTTGGATATAGTCCACATCTTCAGTCACATTCCTCGAGAAATGGTCAAATAGATCTTTAACCGTTGTCTTGACTTTGTGGTTACTTACAACCACAGCTATCATACCTATGATAAGGCAGACGGGAGCGAAACCGAAAACAGAGTAAGCGTACTAGAAATTAATTAGTTTCGTTGTTCGTACGTGTAAGTACGTACCACTTTGAGAAATTTCGGGTACTTTTTGTAATTTCCACAAAAAGTTCCTAAGATTATGGTGTCCAGTAGGACAAAAAATGACACTGTAAGTCCAACAATACAAACAGCGCTCAAATACTCGTCGAAAATTAACTTGTCGGGATTTATGTACATACAAGTCAGTACTATGAGTACCACAGCTAGAATCTTCGAGAAAACACAAGTTTTAAGTGTTCGACAAACCGACTTACCGAAATGATAACACAGACGGCTAAAAACACAAATCGGAGTAGTTGTAATCCACAATTTTTACACATTTTGGAAAACTGTCTGCCAAGTAGATTTTGGCAAGAGTTCCAGTCACCCGCGATTTAAGAAAGTTTCCAACTTGTTTTTCTCCCAGGCAACCCACATTTATCAAACATTCAACTCATCAGTTTCGTCGACGTTTCATCTTTGAGAAAATGTTCATCCACGAAGATCGCCTATCCGACCTATCGATCACCAAACGGCGCAGGTTCAAAAAGCCTCAAGTTAAAAGAGACAAATGCATGGACTTAACTCGTTCGGTGTCTCTCGTCTTGATCATAAGCAAATTCGTGAGTGTTTGGCACATCTCTAAATTCTCACGTTGTGTTTCAGCTTGCTTGTTTGGCCGTCTTCGTACTGGTGGTGTGCGGTCAGGATGCAATCAATCAACTTTTAGGAGTTACAGAAGACCAAGCCATACCTTTGTATGACCTTCCCGATGCTATACAGCGGACCAACGCGATAATCGCCTTCGAGGTGTGCATGCTGTGTGCGTTTGGAATTTACGGCTTTGCAACGCTGAACACCCACCTGCTTACCTTTGTACCAAAAACATGGAACTATTTTCACAAACTGAAGTCTGCTTTCTAGTATGGAACTAACGCACTCATAATCACAGGGATCGTCTTCCTTATTACCGTACTTCCGCAAGATACCAGAGATATAAATGTAATAACGCTGTTCGAAAACTTCCGCGACGACAAAACAAAAGAGAGAAGGCTAAATATGTTCCAGATTCATGTTAGTTGGACTTATTTGGTTACAGTTACCGCTGTTTCTAGTTTCAGTGTTGCGGTACCGATTTCTACAAATTTGAAGATCTAGACGCGTTGCCTTCAAGCTGCTGTGGTCAAAAGAGGGTTGTCAGGTGTCAACCGGAAAAAGTATTCCCACAGCTTTGTAATACATTTGTAGCGCAAGCTTGGACGTCGATGAAAAGGAGGGAAATCGATGAATACGTTATAGTGATCTTTGGTTCAGTTATAGCGATTATGGTAAAAAAGAATCCTCGTTGGGGCAGAATTCAACTGGTTTGCTCTTAGATCCTTGAAGCTGTTCTTACTTTTGGAATGATTTATCGTTTGAGAAAAAAAGCTATGGATAGTACAGAAAGCCAGATGTCGAACATATCTAGTTAACGTATTTTATAAGTATCGCAATGTTGTTGTTTAACTAAGAAATAAATGCATGCATTGATTACGATTTATTTCAATTGGCAATTTTCGAAAAATTGTAGGAATTTTCCACGAAATGAAAACGAAAATTACTTCTGGATATCGAAATGTATAAGAGAATGTCTTGAACTAATTTTCGAAAATAGTTGAAAAATGGTGGAAAATGTCAGAAGTGGCAAAATCACCGTGGTCTTATCTTATCAATATTAGCCCCGCCCACCCACCCTCTGTTTTCTTGGAGGATATGTCATTTGCCAAAATCAGTCTTATCTTAGCAATTACGAGCCCCGCCCACCCCCCTCTTCTCATTCTAACGACTAATTTTATTTCTGTTCAGTATAAGATCATTCATTTTATTCAGATCAGATGAAATCAATCACTGAAAAGGAGACAGGGTGGGTGGGCGGGGCAAATTATTTTCTTCTCTCGAGTGGGAGTGGCAATTAATAATAGAATCTAGGATGTGAAAAAAGTAAAAAAACACTAATCTTTAAAATAATTGTATATCAGTTGGCGATTTTCGAAAAACGGTAGGAATTTCCGAAAAAGGGAAGCGAAAAGTGACATCTGGATATCGAAATGTACAAGAAAATGTCTTCAACTAATTTTCGGAAATGGTTGAAAAATGGTGGAAAATGTCAAAAGTGCTAAACAAGTCTTATCTTATCAATATTAGCCCCGCCCACCCACCCTGTGTTTTCTTGGAAGGTATGTCATTTGCCAAAATCAGTCTTATCTTATCAAGTACTAGCCCCACCCACCCACCCGTCTTCTCATTCTACGACTATTTTTATTTCTGTTCAGTGTAAGATCATTCATTTCATTCAGATCAGATGAAATCAATCACTGAAAAGGAGACAGGGTGGGTGGGCGGGGCTAATTATATTAGAACTTACTATTTCTGTTTTTCGAATTTTTAATTGCTTTCTCGGTGTCTCAATTTCTCGATCTTTCCATTTTTCGACCTCTCCATTTTTAAAATTTTCAATTTTTCGATTTCTTAAATTTTTTAGTCTTTCGATTTTACAATTTTTTGACTTTTCGATTTCCTGATTTTAAAATTGTTTAATACTTGTTTCAATTTTTTTATTTTTCTTATTTCCGATTAATCGACATTTCGGATTGTCCATTTTTAAAATTAAAAAATTTTTGAATTTCGATTTTGTCAATTTGAACATGTTATGAGGACGTGTCATTTGCCAAAATCAGTCTTTTCTTAGCAAATACTAGCCCCGCCCACCTACCCTCTATTTTTTTAAAGAATATGTCATTTGCCAAAATCAGTCTTTTCTTAGCAAGTAGTAGCCCCACCAACCCACCCGTCTTCTCATTCTAACGACTAATTTTATTTCTGTTCAGGATAAGATCACCTATTTCACTCAAATCAGCTGAAATCAATCACTGAAAAGGCGACAGGGTGGGTGGGCGGGGCTAATTATTTTCTTCTGTCTAGTGGGAGTGGCAATTTATAATGGAATCTAGGATGTGAACAAAGGAAAAAAGCGCAAATCTTTAAAATAGGTGTATTTCAATTGGCGAATTTCGAAAAACTATAGGAATTTTCAAAGAAACGCAGCCGAAAATGATTTTTGGATATCGAAATGTACAAGAAAATGTCTTCAACTAATTTTCGGAAATAGTTGAAATATGGTGTAAAATGTCAAAAGTGCCAAAATCAGTCTTATCTTATCAATATTAGCCCCGCCCACCCACCCTCTGTTTTCTTGGAGGATATGTGATTTGCCAAAATCAGTCTTATCTTAGCAAGTATTAGCCCCACCCACCCACCCGTCTTCTCATTCTAACGACTAGTTTTATTTCTGTTCAGGATAAGATCACCTATTTCATTCAAATCAGCTGAAATCAATCACTGAAAAGGCGACAGGGTGGGTGGGCGGGGCTAATTATTTTCTTCTGCCGAGTAGGAGTGGCAATTAATAATAGAATCTAGGATATGAACCAAATAAAAAAAACCCAAATCTTTAAAATAGGTGTATTTCAATTGGCGAATTTCGAAAAACTGTAGGAATTTTCAAAGAAACGTAGCCGAAAATGATTTTTGGATATCGAAATGTACAAGAGAATGTCTTCACTAATTTTCGGAAATAGTTGAAAAATGATGGAAAAAGTCAAAGGTGCCAAAATCAGTCTTATCTTATCAATATTAGACCCACCCGCCCACCCTCTGTTTTCTTGAAGGATATGTCATTTGCCAAAATCAGTCTTGTCTTAGCAAGTACTAGCCCCACCCACCCACCCACCCCCCCCTCTTCTCATTCTGACGCCTAATTTCAATTCTCTTCAGTGTGAGATCATTCATTTCATTCAGATCAGATGAAATCGATCACTGAAAAAAAGACAGGGTGGGTGGGCGGGGCTAATTATATTAGTACTTGCTCTTTCTGTTTTTCGAATTTTTAATTGCTTTCTCGGTTTCTCATTTCTCGATCTTTCCATTTTTCGACCTCTCCACTTTTAAAATTTTCAATTTTTCGATTTACGGATTTTTCAATTTTTAATTTTTTCTTTGAACTATTTCAACTTTCAATTCCTCGACATTTCAGTTTTAAGATTTTTCAATTCATCTATTTTTCATTTTTTCGATCCTCCAATTAGGTATTCGATTTTTCAATTTGGATTTTTTAAATGTTAGATTATTCGCTGTCTCGTTTTTGTCTTTGATTTTTCAATTTTTCGATTTCTTAAATTTTTCAGTCTTTCGATTTTACAATTTTTTGATTTTTCGATTTCCTAATTTTAAAATTGTTTAATACCTATGTCAATTTTTGTATTTTCTTATTTCCGATTAATCGACATTTCGGATTGTCCATTTTTGAAATTTAAAAATTTTTGAATTTCGATTTTTTCAATTTGAACATGTTATGAGGACATGTCACTTGCCAAAATCAGTCTTATCGTAGCAAATACTACCCCCACCCACCCACCCCTCTTCTCATTCTAACGACTAATTTTATTTCTGTTCAGTATTTTTATACTCATTCATTTCATTCAGATCAGATGAAACCAATCACTGAAAAGGAGACAGGGTGGGTGGGCGGGGCTAATAATGTTTTTCTCTCCACTGGGAGTGGAAATTAATAATAAAATCTACCATGCGAAAAATGTAAAAAAGCGCTAATCTTTAAAACAGCTGTATTTCAAATCGATTTTCGAAAAACTGTAGGAATTTTCAAAGAAATGAAAACGAAAATGACTTCTGGATATCGAAATGTACAAGAAAATGTCTTCAACTAATTTTCGGAAATAGTTGAAAAATGGTGTAAAATGTCAAAAGTGCCAAAATCAGTCTTATCTTATCAATATTAGCCCCGCCCACCCACCCTCTGTTTTCTTAGAGGATATGTCATTTTTTTTGAATTTTCAATTTTTCGATTTACGGATTTTTCGATTTTTAATTTTTCCTTTGGACTATTTCAATTTTCAGTTCTTCGACATTTCAGTTTTAGGATTTTGCAAATTATCTATTTTTCATTTTTTCGGTCCTCCAATTAAGTATTCGATTTTTCAATTTGGACTTTTTAAATGTTAGATTATTCGCTGTCTCGTTTTTGTCTTTGATTTTTCAATTTTTCGGTTTCTTAAATTTTTCAGTCTCTCGATTTCCTGAGTTTAAAATTGTTTAATACTTGTTTTAATTATGTTATTTTTGTTATTTCCGATTAATCGACATTTCGAATTGTCCATTTTTGAAATTTAAAAATTTTTGAATTGCGATTTTTTCAATTTGAACATGTTATGGGGACATGTCATTTGCCAAAATATAATTACAAAATCCATATTTCCTTGCAAAACTGTACCATTTCAACCATGTTTTAAGTTTCTTGTTGCGAAAAGATGGCTATTATGTATATTAAGAAAAATAAAGGCAAAATATAAGCCCCGCCCGCCCGCCCTGTCTCAATTCTGATGATTTTTTTATTCGTCGTGAGCCAAAGAGCTTCATAGTAAAATTTTTATTTTTCGACGAGAAGTTACCGTGTGAATATGTTCTGAAGTAATCGTGTTATACAAAGTAAACCAAAGACACATATAAAATTTAATTTTTCGTATATTGTTTTTGAAAATGACCATAGAATCAAAAGTGTGTATAAAATCTAGAAACGCCATGGGGACAACATTAACGTCAAAATAATAAAATTTTATTCTATCTACATTTTTTCACTTTATATTTGAATATTTTACAAACAATGGACATTTCTTCTCTAACCGACAGATTGGACTCTCAAAGTTCGAGTACACATTTCGTAAGAAATTATTTTTTCACCTATCTGTTTAACGATTAATCAAAACCTTGTTAAGATGCTGAAGGATAAAAGAGCTCAGAGCTTGCATCAGTTAGCGCTGGTAAGAATTTTTGCTTTGATGCTGATAAACTGAGTGGTTCTTAAACAGCTGAACCCCGTAGACGAGGAGTCTAGCCAAAGTGAAGAGAGTGTTGAAATAGTGAGCACTTTAGGTGCCGCCATCGAAATAAACCGCGCCATAGCCGTGTTCATGATAACCTTCAAACTGGTAAAACTTTATAGTACCCACTTTACCAAAATCATAGCTTTTTCCAGTTAACATACACAGCGATATTGATAGTAGTACTGAAAGTAGATGCCTTGATATACGAGATTCTAGATACAACCGAAGAATATGCAAAACATATAGGAGATATTCCACGCTGTATCAAAACCTTCGTGGCCACCTGCATAATTATTACGTGTATTGTTTGTCTATTGGGGTACTACGGCAACGCACGGCTAAAACTGCATCTTCTAGCCTACGTAAAACTTCCGTTAAAAAGACTTCCTTTTTAATGTAAACTCGTTTTCAGTACCTATTTTACTTGATACTAATGCTCGCGATGTGCATGTTTTGTTTCGTTGTCTTCTCTACCACAAACCCCGAAGACCATGATCTAGCGACACTATTCAAAAATTTTTCTTCAAATTCGAGAGCAAAAACCGCCGTGTATACGTTACAAAAACAGGTAAACAAAGCCCAATAAGTTCCATTTTTCTATTTGAGTTTTTAGTACCAGTGTTGTGGATCGAAGTACCACAGCTCGGATACTGAAAAATATCAACTGAGTTGCTGTAATACTACAACAATAGACAATTCAACAAAATGCATAGCCGACCAAACGTTCAACAACACCTGCCGCACCGACAAAATGACTGTTTTAAAAGCTTACGCCAAAGTATACGACACACGTGTGCGGGATGCGTACATAAGTGGATTCGCACTCATCATGGTTGAGTACCAAATTTCCACCACATTTTCGATTAAATAATCAAATTTAATTACAGTGTTTCGAAATTTTTCTTACTGCACATATGATGTACTATCTTCGCAGACGGACCAGGCACGACATTCTACTATCAAGCTTTAAATAAATCAAATTGTATGCACTTGTTTGTGTTTTTGTGGTTGACAAATTTTTGCCAGCTGTCAAATTTCGGTATGATTGTGTTTTGACGAAAAATTTTTCAAATGGAAGTCCAGTGTGTGAGTCCGTGTGAAGTACCGCAGTACGCAATCAAGGCAAATCGTGCCATCGCTTTGTTGATCATCACATGCAAACTGGTACTCTCAAAATAGCAAAAACTGTATCTAAAATTTGTTTTCTAGACGATATTCTCGGCTTTCATGGTACTAGCAATAAGTACCAAAGCGGTCGTTAACAACCTTTTACTAATAACGGACGACGTGGCTAAGCAGTTGGGTAAAATTCCGAAAGCTTATCAAGTACTATTGGTTGGACTTTCGTTACAAAAAATCTTCATTCTTGTACTAGGGTTTTATGGTTTTGCCCGCCTGAAACGTTATTTTCTGGCTTCGGTAAAGACCCGTTTTACTTAAACTAGCGTAAATGAAGTGTTTCAGTACGCATTCTATCTTATCTTGATGATTTTCTGGTTCATCTTTTTCTCAATCACAGTGACAGTGGAAGATTCGCACGACAAAGATTTAACTTCATTGTTTAAAGATTTTAAGTCGAGCGAAAGAGCAAAGGCTGCTGTTTATCTGTACCAGGAAAAGGTAACTTAGGTTTAAACCGCGACGTTTTAACGAGTGAGTCTCTTTCAGTACCGATGTTGCGGATCCGAGTACCACACGTCAAACGACTCGGAAGAGGAAAGACTTAGTTGTTGCAACGAACAAAACCAATCTTGTAGTACCAAGAAACCAACGATACTGTCTAAATTCAAACTAGAGGGAGTACTACAATCACGAGTTAACGTAGCCATTGGTACGATAGCTCTCACCGTAATCGAACTGCTCCTCGTTGTTGCCATGTTGTACTATCTAAAATGTGAAACGTAAATTTTCAAATAAAGTACTAACTTTCCCTGTGTTTGTCAAAGTGATGTGTCGAAATTTTGGCACTGTCAGAGTTCTCTTGTTTGTCTTCAATTTCGTCTTCTTAGTGAGTACTTCCGACTAGCACTCATTCTCAAATTCGTTCCTTTTAGATTTTAGCCATATTCACGATCACTCTTTCTGCTTCTCTGCTCACCATAACCAACCGAATCGATTTACACCTCAGCAGTCATTGGGTCTTCAGCATGGTCAACGGATGCATCTTCCTCTGCCTCTGTCTCTTTGGTTTCTTGGCTCTTTTCATGCAAAGAATCTGGATACTGAAGACAGTAGTACCACTCTTCACTCAAAACCACTACTATTTTTCTTTCCAGTTCATCTTCCTTGTATCAGTCATGTCCACAATTCACTTCGTGTTAGCCATAGTGTCCTACTCGTCGGCTTGTAGCATGGATGAAGACAACACCAAAAACGCCATCGTTCACATCTTTGAAAGTCAAGAGCAAGCTCACAAAAATCACGTAGATTTGATCCAAACACAAGTTTAATTAAGACGGTTTGGTTTAAAATTATATTTGATCGAAAAATCGTAGGTAAAGTGTTGCGGATTGGAGGGAATTGAAAGCTGGGGAAACAACATTCCTTCGAGCTGTTGTGACCAAGACGTTTGCACTCCTTCGAATTCCTACAAGGACGGTTGTAGTGCAAAATTATTCAAAGGATACAGAAAGATGAACATAATTTTGGCTATTGTGGCTTTCGTTACGGCCACAGAGGCGGTACTTGGGTCATACTGTGCAATCCTGGAAGCTAAAAAGTCTTTTGTAGTGCGCACTAATTGTAGCGGTTTACTTTGCAACGAAATTTGCGATGCGAAGAACAGAAGCAGCTTTTCTTAATACAGCTGTTTTGTAATGTTACTAGCAAGTGAAAAATAAAACTAGATAAATGATGATTTTTATTTTGGGTACTGCGGTTGATTGTCGTCAGACGAAGAAGGTTTCTTAAGATACTTTATTTTTGTGCAAGCCAGGTAAAGAGAAATGATTGCAGTGGCAAGCTAAAACGTAACATAAAAGTATGATCACTGATATCGCAGTACTCCTTACAGTCATCAAGGTATACACCATCGCTTGAATTTGTAGTCTGGCCTGTAAATGTCTAAATCGTTCGTACCGAGTAAGACATGGCAGAAAATTAGCAACAGCGAAACTGCAGTTGGAATGATCGTATTCGTCGGAACAGCAACTGACCGGTGGTGGTACCGCCCAGTAAAATCTTCCGGTTAAACCGCAGCACTTCAACTATTAACGACAAACGTTTAAATCGGGACGATAACATCAAAACACTCACTATTGTTTGTATAAAGTCAATATAGCGTTGATTTGTAGAGTCCTCGTGACCAACCACACTCCATCCATCCTTGTAGACAAAATGTTCCCCACTAGACGTCACATAATCCGCCAGACGAGTTCGAGCTTCCTCTTGAACAAAGTTAACACTGTCAAACAAATCAGTTGTTGTTTGTTCGATTGCTTCGTCGAAAGTGTCCACGAAGTACTTCAAAACCACTACGGCTATTATTTCCGCCGAGAATATGCACAAAGCTGATATTCCAACCTGCAAAACTAGTACAAAAGTACGATATCGATCGAACAACTTACTGCAAAATTGATCACCGGTTTGGTATGGCAGAAAATAGCACCGACGATTTCGGCTATCCCTAGTACTACACAAGTAAAACCTAGACTTGTGTATATGCTATAAGTGAGATCTACGACGAAATGAAAAGCGGCCGCAACTTTTTCGTCGTACGTGATAGGCATGAGGAAGTGGGAAGCGTAGTACTTCCTGCATTCCTCAGACTGCAGTACGAGAATGAAACTGTTAACCTGGAAGCTCAAATGTTAGTTGAAAATAGAACGAAAATGAATATACTCACCAACTTCAAAACGACGAGAAGGAACAGAATGCGACGTAGCAAAATCACAAAAACTGCTTTATTCATTGAGAATTTTATCACTTGTCCAGTGAGCAACTAAATTTTTGACAATCTGTCATGGAACTGTGACAAAAATAATAATAATAACAAAAAATTAAATTGCACATTTGATCTCCCATTTATTAAAATGTTTGGTTCACTTTTACAAAACAAATGCTCAAGGGAAACTAATGTTATCTAGCACATCCGACGAGGAATCGCTTTCGGATCCATATTCTTCGTTTGGATATTTCACCCTAATGCGAGCCAAATAAAGAGAAATGATTCCGTTAGTTAGCTAAAAGAATTATCTAGACGTGAGAACTTTACATGAAAATTCTTACAGATACGAAAGCAAAGAAAATGACTGCAATCTGCATCGTGCCCAAACAACTGCGTAATAACCGGTAAGTACGAAGACAACCTGTAGCGTGAGCAACAGCCATGGTACAGTTTGCATCTTGGTATTCTTCTGAGCAACAAGTGGATGGAGGCGGTACTGCCCAGAAAAATCTTCCCGTCGGTCCGCAGCATTGCTTCTGGTAAACCACCAAGTAGTAAAAGAGTATTTACATAAATAATAAATTTACAATTATATGGTAAAAGTCAATGAAACTTTTGTTGGTGGGACTAGAATGGGCGATAGTACTCCAGCCGTTCCTGTATATGAAATGATTGCCATCTCCCGACACAAACTCTTCCAAATTCGCATGAGAAGAATTCGGAATAAAGTTAACACTGTTGAATAACTCTATCGTTGTTTCTTCTATAGTGTAGTGCAAAGTGGTTATAATTTCACCAACAACAACTGCAGATGTGAGTTCTACCACACTCATGAAGAATATAGCCATTCCAGCCTGCCAAATTGAGCAACATAGAAAATATCTTATTTTTAACATCCAACATCTTACTGAAAAATTGATTAGTTTATGTTGCTTTAACTCTATGGCTCCCACAAAGCCAACAATACTTATTACAATCACGAGAAAACCTATGCCCATATATACGGTAAATATCATATCAAACGAAATCTCCATAGTTTCAAGAATTTCATATTCCCAGTAGAGTGGTACCAAATGCTGATTGTCGTAATAGTGTCTACATGTGTCCGATTGAATCATCATAATTACACCACTAATCTGCAAATTCCATCACTTTGAAGTTGCATTTCAAACAAGAGAGTACTTACAAATTTCAGAACAACGAGAAGAAAGAGTAAATGCCGTAGAAAATTAACAAATGCTGCTTTGTTCATTACAAATTTTTGCGAGACCAAATCTTGAGGGTGAGATTACATATAGAAATGTCACTGTCACTTCATAAAAAACAAAAAAATAAATGGCCAACCGTACGTCGAAAAGATCGTGTTGGAATAATCCAGAACCATTTTTATATTTTTATTTACTTATTACAATATCAACACAATATTTTATTTAAAAGTCTCTTGCAGATCGAAAGCATTGTCCTCTTCTGATGACGAAGAACTGTCATCGGAAGCATAGTTGCCATCTGGATATTTCTGTTTATAACGCACCAGCCGCATGGCAACACAACCTGCTACAAACTGAAAATAAAACCATGCAGTTTTTTTCAACGCGTTATGATTTTCCTTACAGATAGTACTGCAACAACCAAGAATTCGACTTGCAGAGTTGACAAACAAGACGAGAAAACGTTAAACTTAAATTGGCAAGTAGCAGTGTACGCTACATCCAACGTACAGTTATCACCTGGGTACTTTTCTGGACAACAACTCTCAGGAATTCGTATTTTCCAAAATTGGCGTCCCGTGAATCCGCAACATCCCAACTGAAAAAATGTAACACAGGCATTTCGTGTGAGACTTAGGTACTTTGACGGATTCTAGTCTAACTTCTAGGCGGCATATTTGTTTTGTGAACCAACTACCAAATATTGATCTTGTGGTAAACGATGGTTGTCTTTTTCTCAACTTTACATCCTTGGAATTTTTTTTTTTTGTTTGTGTATGGAATTTACATTTATCAAACTTATTTTGTACGTGAAATTGTCAGAGAAATCTTAAAAAATTAACATTTTAGTTTTTTATTTTTAGCTTACAAATCTGGACAATGACAACGGAGTCGCGTGTGGTTAAAGAAATTTCCACAAACTGTAACACGAAAAAAGTTATTGTATGTGATGGAATCTAGGACGACAGTCCAAGAATACCAGCTATAGATTTCTGATTGACAAAAGTTTTCACGAAAATGTACTATAAGACAACCTAAACGAAATTAATTTATAAACTGCTAATGATAACAGTTTCACTTCTATCGATTTGATTCTCTGTCAGAATAACTTAAACTTACAATCTTTTCCAAAGAAAACAACCAATTCCCAAAAGTAAATAAACGAAAATTCGAAGAAAAACTATTTGTAACTTGGTTCACTTTTGTTATGTTTGTATAGAAAACGGTACGGTCTTTACAAATTGGAGTGTTCTTTAATATATTTAATTTCTGTAACTATTTATTTTACATGACAAAAGTAAGTCTCTAAACATACTAGATATCTAACATATCTAACACCCTCTCCTGTCAGGACAACTTCAAATTCCCAACTTTCTTCACTTCTACTTTCCTACTTCGAAATCTAATAATCTTCTCGGTAAGCAACCTCTATTCCATCTTTTGGGCCTCGTTTCTGCGACTATTTGTGGAATGCTGGGTTGACTAACTACCGGCGTTGGTTCCGGACTGGTTACAATATCTTGGCTAAATGTAACATTGGTTACTTCAGAAACCTGTCTAGTTTCATTCGGAACATTATGATTATTTGAATTTGGAAACCTTGGTAACGTTCTTCCATCAGGTATACCAGGTGTAAGCATAGGTGAATTGTAGTTATCAACTTGGTTACTTGGTGGTACATTGTTTCTCGAGAACACTGTGTCAAAATGGACTTTTTGATTATCATTTAAAGGCAATTTAATAATTTGATTAATGTGACGTTTCCAGGTACGATTATCGTCTAGCTGAATCAAATAGTGTAATTTTCCTAATCTTTTAACAACTTTTCCTACACACCATCTTTGTTTTGACGTATAATTTCTACACTGTACTCTATCACCTACTGATACAGTTCTAATTTTATTATTTTTGTTAACATTACTTATTTTCGTTGAAATTGCATTTGGTAACATTAAATCTAATCTGTTTCGAATTTGTCTACCGAACAATAATTCTGAAGGACTTTTATTAGTTGTAGGTACTATGTGGTGTAATTCTGTAATGCATTAGCATTCTTTGTAGATTTACCTCATCTGTATTTTGGGAATCTATATTTAAACTAACTAGACTTTTCTTCAGACTTTGTACAAATCTTTCTAATTGTCCGTTAGTTGCAGGATTGAACGGCGCTATTCTTTTATGAATAATATTATTACTAAAAAGGAATTTATTAAATTCATGTGAACATAATGGTAACGTCTCTATCGTTTGTATTTGAAAAACATCTACTACATCAAATTGTGATTCTCGCGTATGTGATTGTGGAAGTCTGGAAAGGCAATCAGCATTTGAATGATTTTTCGTATTTCTGTATTTAATATCGTATTTAAATCCTTGTAGGAATAAGGCATAATGTTGCATTCTCATTGCGCTGTAAATTGGTAAAGGTTTGGTTGGAGAGAAAATTTGAACTAATGGTTGATGGTCTGTAATTAATATGAATTTATTTCCGTATAAGTATTTGTTAGTGCCTTTGGCGGGAACCTGTCTCACCCCTCCCCACCCGTAAGGGTGGGAGCCAGAGCCACCCCCACCTTGGAACACAGGGTAGCATTCATTCTTAAATCTCAACTGATTTATTCATACGCAATTCTCAATCCGTAACTGACAGTCATCACTCTCGACCGCACGGTCATATACTATTCTATTCTTGTTATTCTTAGTTATCATAACACTTGTTACTAGCAATATATACTTCTTTTACTGTTCGCTGGTCTTTATTCATTTATACACTTTTACATGGTCCTTCGAGCCGGATTGACCAAACCAAGCGGATCAAATAATTGCGATATGGCGCTCATTACAGATCGTTTGGTGACCTTTGTCACCGAAAAACTAAAACCGGCATAGGAAAACGAATCATTTTGGTTATCCCACCTGATACCTAAAGTTTTATTATTGTGTTGTTTGTCCGTTATTAAGCGCTTACCGCTCGATGTAGGCTGAGTGCATTCTTGTATATTGGGATAATTAGACGACCATTTGCTTAACTCGAAGCCTCCCTTTGCCAGAACGGCCTAAAATCGTCTTTAGGTGACGAACCAAGGAAAACGTTAGAAAGTCTTAAAACAACCAATAATAACTACGCTATTGCCGTGGATCTATTGAAACAAAGATTTGAAAACAAAAGATTTATAGTCAATAACCACTTAAAAAATATTTTCGACCTTCCTCACGTGAATAAAAATGATTCTAAGTCTTTGCGCGGTTTTCTAGACCAAGCGCAAATTAATCTAAATACGTTAAAGGCATTGGGGCGTCCTGTCGATCAATGGGGGGACGTCATTGTTTACATATTGACCTCCAAACTAGATCATTTCTCCAGTGCGGCATGGGAGGAATCTATTGAATTTAACACCATTCCCGGGCAAGCGGAATTACTTTCATTTTTAGAAAAACGTTGCCGAAACTTAGAGTCAATTAATTTACACAAATTTCGTAACGAAGGAAAACCGATTATTACTCCCAGACCAAATGTGAATGCTTCACTTAAAAGGCATGTTTTTCAGTCATCAAATATAAACAAAGTCCATGTTAACAGTAATCAATCAATCCCGTGTTTTATATGTTCCCAAATGCACAACATATTCAATTGTACCTGATAATGTGTTGTAAATCTCTTTCAGGTGGCTTACATGTAATGTAATATTCATTGTAATATTCTATAATTTGGTATTAAAACAATGTAATTGTTTCAAGGCGGGGGGTATGTTAGTGCCTTTGGCGGGAACCTGTCTCACCCCTCCCCACCCGTAAGGGTGGGAGCCAGAGCCACCCCCACCTTGGAACACAGGGTAGCATTCATTCTTAAATCTCAACTGATTTATTCATACGCAATTCTCAATCCGTAACTGACAGTCATCACTCTCGACCGCACGGTCATATACTATTCTATTCTTGTTATTCTTAGTTATCATAACACTTGTTACTAGCAATATATACTTCTTTTACTGTTCGCTGGTCTTTATTCATTTATACACTTTTACAGTATTGATGAAATTTTTTTATTGCAAATATTATACCGTAAGCTTCTTTATCGATTTGTGAATATTTTTTTTGTGTATCGTTTAGTGTTTGAGATGCGTACTGTATAACTCTTTCTGAACCATCTGGCTGTATTTGTGGAAGTACAGCTCCTACACCATATGAACTTGCATCTGTAGCCACTGTAAGTGGTAAATTAGAATCGTAATGTGCTAAAATTGTGTCGGATTTAAATTCTTCCTTTGCTAATAAATATGCTTCTTCACATTCTTTTGACCACGTGAATGAAACATTTTCTCGTAATAATTGATTTAAAGGGTATAAAATCGTACTTAGGTTTTTTATAAATTTTCCATAATAATTAATCATTCCAATAAAAGAACGCAATTCACTTTTATTTGCAGGTCTGGGCATTTTATCGATAGCATCAATTTTATTTTTACATTTGTGTATTCCCTTTTCATCGATCTTATATCCACAATAATTTATTTCTTTTTTAAAAAATTCACATTTATCGGTGTTAATTTTTATATTATATTTATGAAGTCTTTTTAATACTTCTTCTAATCTTTGTATATGGATCAAATCGTCAGGACCAGTAATTCTAATATCATCAAGGAAAACTGAAACTCCCGGTATGCCATTTAGGATATTTTCCATCTCCCTTTGCCAAATAGCTGGGGCACTGGCAATACCAAACAATAATCTCGTACATTGAAATAGTCCTTTGTGTGTGTTAATTGTAAGTAAATGTTGGTCTTCCGGTCTAAGTTCTAATTGTAAATAAGCTTGTTTTAAGTCAATTTTTGTGAATTTTTTACCCCCTGCCATAGTAGCAAATAATTCATCGGTTGTAGGTAATGGATGATCATCTACTATCAAATGTGGATTTAATGTAACTTTAAAGTCCCCACAAATTCTAACGGTATTATTACTTTTTAAAATCGGAACGATGGGTGTAGCCCAATCTGATGTATTAACTTTAATCAAAACTCCTTCCTCAACTAACTTATCTATTTCATTTTCTACTAACTGTTTAAGTTTAAATGGAATTGGACGAGCTTTAATATAAACTGGAACCGTATTAGATTTTAATGTTAACTTTGCTTGTATCCCTGTAATTTTTGCTAATTTTGTCTCTGTAATTGAATTGTATTTTTCTAACAAAAATTGTACTCGGGAATCTATTTCTTCCTTATGAACGTCAATTGTATGTAAGGTGTCTAATTTTAACAATTGTAATTGTCTAATCCACTCTCGACCAAGTAAAGGCATTTTATTTGTATCAGTAAGATAGATATTTAAATTATATTGTTGATTTTTGTGGTTGACAATAACATTTGCGTATCCCTCAGTCGTTACTTCAGTATTACAGAAAGTAAATAATTTTGTAACGGTACTATTAATGGTCGTATTTGGAAACATTTTTTTGAATTGTAATTTTGACATAACTGTGACAGCACTACCTGAATCAATTTCAAATTTAATCCATTTCCCACTAATATTTAAAGAAATTGTGTACTTATCTCTAAAGTGAGTATGGTCTGATTGATTTATTTCCTCCTCTGCTTCCACCTGGTGAGTTGGTACTGCACCAAATTCGTTACTATTATTTATTCGCTTAAAACAAACTTTTTGGATGTGACCAAGGGTCCCACAAAATCTGCACTTTGTATTCTTAGGTAATTGACAATTTGAAGCTAGATGGTTTCCTCCACACCTGTAACATTTAATATTGGAATTAGAATTTCGCGACGTAAACTTCGGTTGAATGGATTGTAATTTTTTTGTCTTCGTACTCTCCTCTAGTATAGAAGAAGTTCTAGACGTATTTTTCGTACCACCTTTCTTCTTTTCTCTAAGTGTAACATAGTTCATTGATGTATTTAGTATTTCTTTATTTGCATCTTTTTCTGACATTTCCATCGCATGGGCTATTTTCACTGCATCGTCAAATGTTAATTTGTCCATCTCCAATAGTCTGCAGCGAATTCTATTACTTTTTAGACCGAAAACGAACTTATTTCTTAACGCAGTTTTCAAATATTCTCCAAAATTACAGTTTATCGCTAATTTCTGAATCGCCACAACGTAATCTTGTAATGATTCTCCCTCCATTTGGTTACGCTGATGAAAACGATAATTCTCGGCAATTTCTATCGGTTTCGGTGCGTAAAATTCTTGTAGTATTTGTATTATTTCCTCAAATGATTTGTTGTACGGATCGTCAGGCGAGCATTTGTCACAAATGACATCAAATGCTTCATGTCCAATATAATGTAATAATCCCGGAGCGTAATCCACGTCTTTAACTTGAAAAAGTTTGAAATCACCTTTTAATCTTCTAATCCAATTCAGCCAATTCATTGAAGGTCGAAAAGTTCAATATTTAAAGTAGCTTTGAAAGTATTACTTGGAGTAGTTTCATTCAACATCCTCGTCGTAGCTTCATTCGGCATCCTCGTCGCCAATAATTTCTTATGTTTGTATAGAAAACGGTACGGTCTTTACAAATTGGAGTGTTCTTTAATATATTTAATTTCTGTAACTATTTATTTTACATGACAAAAGTAAGTCTCTAAACATACTAGATATCTAACATATCTAACAACTTTGTATAACCAAATTTGCTTAAAATCAACCACCTTCAATTTACTCAAATTTGATACAAAAATGTCCAACGAAATACTTCAAAAGGTACAATGAATCTCACCTGCGTTTGAATGTAATCTACCTCTGCCTTTAAGAATTCACTGCCATTTGCAAAACGTACCCATCCATTAGCAAGAGGCAACTGATAGCTGTACGTAGTCTCCCCCAATGTTTCGAATAGTTCGTTTTCTGAGGAGGAAAGCAAGCTCTTGTACTCAGGATTCATTGCATTGACCTGCTCAAACAATTGTTGCATTTCTTGAATTACTATTTTTTCAAGGCTGTTAATGACCGGTACCAGAATCCATGCACCAGTTAACTCCAAGAGCAAAATAAAAAAAAAATTCATACCTGTCTAATCACAAGAAAAGCAATGAGGTTGTCTTCAAGGAAAATTCTTACCACAAAAACGAGCAAAGGGCGAGAGTTAAAACATACAGCGCCGGCAAAACCTAGACCGCAAGTCACAACCGACATGAAGACAGTCACCAGTGGCAACACTTGCAGCGAATCATTGCCTATGGCGATAGGGTCGCGTAAATTTTCTAAAAACGCAACTAAAATAATTGCAGGTGAGAATTTACCCTGACAGTCGACTATTGAAAGTGCGATCGCAAAGACTCCTACCTTAAAATGTCATCTTATTAGAAACTGCAAATACGAAAAAAAGTCTTACCATTTTCAGGACAAGTAAGAGGAAAAGAAGATGTCGAAAGAAATTTACCGCTGCAGCAGTATTCATTTGAAAATCGTGCTGAAAATTAGTAAAATGACAAGACGCGTTTTTGTTGTGATGGTTTCTATGGTACTAGTATGGAACTAAGAAAAGGCCAGGCATTATGTACAGTGAGACTAAAATAAAGCCTCAACATCAGTTCAACATTCATTTTTGAAAATTAGTTTTCTGTTTTAATTTTCCAATATTTGATACAGAATTCGGTGTACCAGGTGTTAGAATACTGACGGTTTAAACAAAAAATAACTCTCCTCTACCCTGGCTAGATGAGCAAACGTATTTATAAAAAATTATAGTTTAAATGAACTAAGAAAACACGCTTTTGTAGCAATACGAACTAAAAAATTAAAAATAATCTTTAAATACGGTTACGAAATAAACCCATACGCCGCCCCGATACGACTCCTATGGGTTTTCTAGTATGTGCAGCGATGACGCCGTTCGCTAAAAAAAACCTGGATGCGGAAGTTGAGAAGGGGTTCCAGAAAGACCTCGATCACGGAACCTCTAGAAGCGGAGTATGGGGTTAAAGAGAGACCACGTTTGAAAAGGGATTATGAATTTTAACCCACTCCGATTTTAAATTACCAATCAACGTAACAATACATATAAAAGTTTAAGTCAAGAGCGAGAGGGCATCTCACAATTGGGTATAACTTAATTTTTTCAATAAGCTTAATATAAGAATAAAGTAATCGACAAAAAAAAACTTAAATGTAGAGAACACGTAAAAATACTAGTCCGTGACTATTAATACGCTACATTTTTGGAATTGCCACGTCGAGATTTACACCGAGCCCTAAATTTTTTGAGAATATTTAGACGACTTTTGCAAAAATGAAATTTTCCATTATGAAAATTTCAACCCATTTTCGACCATTTTCGAAATTTAACAAAACCATTTTCGTGTAGACGTCGGGCGCAGAAGTCACTTCCGGTCTCATTTCGTCGAAAAAACGCAACCGTTTTTCCAGAATCGCTATTGAAATATTGTGCTTTTTAAAAATTTGGAAAAATTCGAATTTCACTCCGAATATTTCGAAAATAGTGTTCTGTGACTCTAAACACGCTACATATTTCGTATTAGCACCTCAAGCTCTATAACCCTGAATTTTTTGGGAATTTTTTGACGACTTTTCAAAAATGAAATTTTCCACAATGTAATTATAGTTTTTTTTTTGTATTATTATGAGTATATTAGATTCGAAAATACGAATTTACTGTTTCAACAGGTACCTCATATTCGCCCGCTGTTTCTTCTGTGGCTAGTCCATTGATAATCTCTTCATCATTAATCTGGGATTCTTCATCATTGCTTGCGATCCACTCTTCCACTTCTTCTGTAGTTACTTCCATTTGCTTTCTGACATATATTTAATATCACCAGATACAGGAATATGTCGCAGGGACCATGCGAAATTTGTACATTCTGTATCAGGAATTTGGCACAACTTTAGAGTTTTCCTTATTCCTGAATCATTTTCTGCAGATGAAACGAATAGCAGTTTTCTTTCTCTTGATACCACAGATGGTCGCCTTTCCAACATTATACTCCTAGGCTAAATGTGTGATAGTTCTTGCATCAGATTACCCAGATTAAATAAGTACAACACGTGCAGTCGATATTGCGTCATTTTTGCATGTCGGTGCATGTTTGCAAGTTCAGTTCGAATTACAGAGTTTTTGTTCGGGTTAAAGAGACACCGACTTCAACTAGCCTCTGTGCATGTACGGATAATCGTGGGTTGAGATTGTAGACAATTTTATTTGTCAGTAACTCCTGTTTACGCGACAAATTACAGAGCGATTATGTACAAAAATATTTCCGGCGCAACTTGTCTGGATTTTCTCGACACACGCTGGACTGAATAATCCTGTTCCAGACGATGGTCTCTATTTAAACGCATACTCTCCTTCTCGAGGTTTCCTGATCGAAGTCTTTCTGGAATCCATCGCGACTTCCGCAGCCAGACTTTTCTTTACCCAACGCCGCTGCGCTCGGCCGATGAGTCATCACCGCCGTACATACCAGAATAAACACATACGTACTAGAAGACCCATGGGCGTCATACCAGGGCGGCGCATGGGTTTCATTCGTAACAATATTTATTTTATAATGCAAGAGATTACAACACGAATGAAACTTTGCACATAAGAGCTAGAGATTGTGATAACTTTATGAATACCGTAATCATTATGAACCCATATCATGTCATTCAATTCATGAAATTTTGATAAAAAATATGATATAAAATCCAAATAACGACGATAGTTGCTAGAATAAATAAACAAGAATTTTTTTGTAAAAATAAATCAGAAGCTTTTTGTAAGAAGAAGTATGATTATGACATTTATAATGAACAAAAAATACATTCAGTGAAACCATGATATTGCTTTTTGAATTTTTTGAATTTATAACAAGTTTTTGTTTTAACATGAGATGGGTGATTTCTTACAACACTACATTATTTATTTACGGCTTTTGAAATTGTCATGTAATAAGTGATTGTAAAATTGGTAAACAATGAATGTTATTATTATTATTATTTTAAAGTAAATATTAACACAATGTTTTATTTAAAAGTCTCCTGCGGATCGAAAACATTGTCCTCTTCTGATGACGAAGAACTGTCATCGGAAGCATAGTTGCCATCTGGATATTTCTGTTTATAACGCACCAGCCGCATGGCAACACAACCTGTTACAAACTGAAAACAAAACCATGCATTTTTTTTCAACGCGTTATGATTTTCCTTACAGATAGTACTGCAACAATCAAAAATTCGACTTGCAAAGTTGACAAACAAGACGAGAAACCGTTAAACTTAAATGTGCAACTACGACTGTACGCTACATCCAACGTACAGTTATTACCTGGGTACTCTTCTGGACAACAACTCTCAGGAATTCGTATTTTCCAAAATTGGCGTCCCGTGAATCCGCAACATTCCAACTGAAAAAATGTAATAGAGGTATTTCGTGCCAGACTTAGGTAGTTTGACAGATTCTAGTCTAACTTTCTAGGAGGCATATTTGTTTTGTGAACCAAATGCCAAATATTGCCCTTGTGGTAAAGGATGGTTGTGGTTTTCTGAACTTGTGCTTGTGAAATTTGTTTTGGCTTATATGTAATTAATTTACATCTGTGAAACTTATTTTGTACGAAGGTGTTATTGTATTCGTGAATCTGTCAGAGAAATCTTTAAAAAATGAACATTTTAGCGTTTTATTTTAGCTTACAAATCTGGACAATGACAACAGAGTCGCGTGTGTTTAAAGAAATTTCCACAAACTTTAACACGAAGAAGGTTATTATGTGATGGAACCTAGAACGACGTTCCAAGTATACTAGCTATACATTTCTGATTGGCAAAAGTTACACGAAAATGTACTATAAGACAACTTAAACTAAATTCAATTATAAACTACTAATGATAACAATTTCACTTCTATCGAATTGATTTTAAGTCAAAATAACTTAAACTTACAGTTTTTTTCAAAGAAAACTACCACTTTGTATAAATAAACCATCTTCAATTTACTTAAATTTGATGCAAAAATTTCCAACAAAATGCTTCTAAAAGTGCAATAAATCTCACCTTCGTTTGAATATAATCTACCTCTGCCTTTAAGAATTCACTGCCATTTGCAAAACGTACCCATCCATTAGCAAGAGGCAACTGATAGCTGTAAGTAGTCTCCCCCAATGTTTCGAATAGTTCGTTTTCTGAGGAGGAAAGCAAGCTCTTGTACTCAGGATTCATTGCATTGACCTGCTCAAACAATTGTTGCATTTCTTGAATTACTATTTTTTCAAGGCTGTTAATGACCGGTATCAGAATCCATGCACCAGTTAACTCCAAGAGCATAATAAAAAAAAAATTCATACCTGTCTAATCACAAGGAAAACAATGAGGTTGTCTTCAAAGAAAATTCTTACCACAAAAACGAGCAAAGGGCGAGAGTCAAAACATACAGCGCCGGCAAAACCTGTAGCACAAGACACAATCGTCATGAAGATACACACCACTGGCACCACTTGCAGCGAATCCATGGTTATGTTGATAGAGTCGTGCAAATTTTCTAAATGCGCAGGTAAAACAACTGAAGCTCCGAATTTACCCATGCAGTCCATTGCTGCAAGTGTAGTCGCAAAGACCCCTACCTTAAAATGTCATCTTATTAGAGACTGCAGATACAAAAAAAGTCTTACCATTTTGAAGACAAGTAAGAGGAAAAGAAGATGTCGAAAGAAATTTACCGCTGCAGCAGTATTCATTTGAAAATTATGCTGAAAGTTAGTAAAATGACAAGACGCGTTTTTGTTGTGATGGTTTCTATGGTACTAGTATGGAACTAACAAAAGGCCAGGCATTATTGACAGTGAGACTAAAATAATAATAATAATAATAATCACCCAAAATCGTCGATTGAAAGATTCTCATTACCAAGACAGAATGGAGGAAGGGGTTTCCAGAACTTAGAAAACTTATATCAGAGACAAATTTCAGACTTGAAGAAGTATTTCTTGAAACGAGCGGAAAGAAATGAAATGTTTCACACCATCACAAGAGCAGATTTGAACCACACACCCTTAAATCTGTCGAACACCAAAGAAATCCACACCCCCCACAATAGATAAAATAATAAGTGGGCTAAAACAAAAACAACTACATGGAAAATTCTACAAAGACTTAGAAGAAAATCATGTCAATAAGAAGATGTCATTGATTTGGTTAAAAAAATCAAGTTTGTATGCCGAAACAGAAGGATTTGTGTTTGCTATTCAAGACCAAGTAATCAATACCAAGAATTATAGAAAATACATCATCAAAGATCCGAACATAAAAAACGACTGCTGTCGCCTATGCAAAGCAAAACCTGAAACGATCCAGCACATAATCTCTTCTTGCAGCATCCTAGCACAAACTGATTACAAAGCTAGACACGACAACGCAGCCAAAATCATTCACAAAGAATTAGCAACACTTATGAACTTAATCGAAGATACGACACCCTATTACACTTATATTCCGTCTCCATTCCTTGAAAATAACAAATACAAATTATACTGGGATCGCACAATACTTACAGACTTAAATTTAAACATTACAGCTAACAGACCAGACATCATACTTATCAAAAAACACACGAACGAAGCCATTCTTATTGACATTGCTATTCCTAACACAAACAACATTATTCAAACATACGACACCAAGATTTCAAAATATCTACAATTATCGATAGAAATGAAATCCATGTTGAATCTTAAAAAAATTTCAATTCTACCCCTAGTTATCTCTAATGTAGGTGTAGTTCCAAATAGCTTAGTTGAGAATTTAAAGTCTTTGCATTTGAATGATTCAATAATAATTGTCAAAATTCAAAAAGCTGTTTTGTTAGGAACATGTCATATTGTTCGTAAGTTTCTTGAACAGTCTGATCATGTCAGTCAGATTAGATTAGCACCAGTAGGTCAGAGTAGTGTAGGTCACTTTTCATGTGATGCGCGGATAAATGGTCGGTAGTTACGCTGGACTTTTGGGGATGGGGTGAGATTAGAGAATAATAGCAGACTAATTTGTATGCTGTAATTCTAGAATCTCGAAAGTTGTTCTGTTAATCTAATCAATTCATATCATTACTTGGTCTCAGTACCCGTAATGATAGAAGTCTTGCCTGAATGCCGGTCATTTCCGGGTCAGTGGTGGGTCTTAAAAATAATAATAATAATAATAATACTTTATTCCCAACAGGTAATAATACACCCAGTAACAGGGAAAAAAATTAACAATAATTATGAAGTAGTGCAGTAAATATGTACAAAGAAAAAGAAAAAGAAAAAAAATATATATATGTATAAAATATTAACTCAAATAAAATTAAGTAAAAATAAGTCACAAGTGAAAACTTAATCCAAAAACGCAACTTTTAATTAATGGTTCAATTATAATATTATGATCGGAACAAAAGACAAAATAAATTATTTATTACAGTAGACTTTATAAATGGTTTGAATAACAGTACCTAAACTATCAGCATTTATGTCGCAAAATTTAGATATATGATTAAATAGTTCACACATGAGAATTATAGGTGATCTACGTAACACATTTGTTCTGGTTGCTAATGAGTAAAATGTTAAAAACTGTCGAGAATGAACACGAGGTACAATGAAACGAATTTTATCTAAAAGAATTATACAGTCTATTTTGTTATTAACTAACTTATGTAGAAAGCTGATGGTATGAATAATACGCCTAATTTCTAAGGAAATAAAGTTGAATTGATTTAACAGTTGTAAGTGATCACACCCTCTGTCAGGATATACCCCAGATGAACGATATGACAGAAATTTCAGGAACTTACGTTGGACGGATTCTATATTTTTTATATGAATTTCGTAAATTGGAAACCATATTAGTACTCCGTATTCAAGTTGAGATCTAACTAATGCGTAATACAGATTGCAAAGAGTAGAGATGTTGAGAAAATCATTACAACTTCTGTAAATGAAACCATACATCCTGTAAGCTTTTGACACTATTTCTGTCATATGATCATTAAACATTAGCCTACTATCAAAGGTGATTCCAAGGTCTTTATACTTTTCTCCACGATTTAGGGTAACTGCATCGATATTATAATTGAAGATAATAGGTTCCTGTTTTTTAGTATACGAAACTACAAAACATTTATTTTTATTTAGTGATAAACGATTAGTGTTGCACCACTCGACTACAGTATTAATGTTGGTTTGAAGAATCCTACAATCATCAATGGTGTTAATTTCAAAAAACAATTTCAAGTCATCTGCAAATAACAACTTTTCGGAAGATATATGTTCAACAATGTCGTTAATAAACAATAAGAACAAAAGTGGTCCCAAAATCCCTGAGGAACTCCAGATGTCGGTGAATATATTTCTGAATAGAAGTTACGATATCGTACTGACTGCACTCTACCAATAAGGTACGACTTGAATAATTTAAGTAATGACTCAGAGAAGCCAAATTGGCGCAGTTTGTCTAGGAGAATAAAGTAATCGATTTGGTCGAAGGCCTTAGAAAAGTCCATATATATCGCGTCGACTTGACTTCTACTATCGATTAACTGAGATACGTATTGAGAAAAACAAGCCAGATTCGTCACAGTCGACCTCTTCTCAACGAAACCATGTTGGTATGGTGTTATAAAAGATTTCACAGATGAATAAATTAGCTTATACATTACTGATTCAAATGTCTTCACAAAATTACATAATAAACTTATGGACCTGTAGTTCTTTACATCAGCTTTATCCCCAGACTTAAATATGGGAGTAATGCAGGATTTTTTCCAAAGTTCTGGTACCTGACAATCTTTGAGAATAAGATTAAATATTCTAAGCAATGGAGTCACAAAGATATATGCACAGTCCTTGAGTAGAAAGCTAGGAATGCCATCAGGACCGGATGTAAATGTGTTTTTACAGTTTTTTAAGGCCAAAAGAATATCTTTTTCAGACAGTGAAGTAATAGTAACTGAAAGCTGAGCTGCTGTTTCATTCGTAGTGCAAAAAGGAGCTAAACAATCGGACTTTATATAAACATTACTAAAATGATGAGCAAAAGCGTTAACTATAGCTTGTGGACATTATAGTTCTCTGTCATCATAGCGCATTAAGCCAGGAATACGTGTGCTACCTTTTTTGTTATGAAGAAACATCCAAAATGACTTAGGATCTATAGAAATATTATTTTCAATCTTACGCATGTACATTCTATAAGCATTTTGAATAAGCACTTTACATTTGGAACGATGGAATTTAAATAAATTATAGTAATGAGCAGTTTTATATTTTTTATACAGTTTGTGCAATGAGTATTTAGTGCGTATAGCATTTCTTATTTCCTGATTAAACCAGGGAGGATATTGTCGACGGTTAGTACTCAATTTGATTTTAAATTTAGGAACAGCAAGATCAAAAATTTCATGGAGTTTGGCATAAAAAAGAGAACAAATTTCATCAACGCTACCATCGGTATCTAGGAAATCCCAGTTGCAAGAGTAAAGCATATCATAAAGAACTGGAAAGTTTGCCTTTCTAAAGTCATATTGTTCTAGATTATTTATAGGGAAAGATTGATCAAGGGGGATTACAGATTTTATAACTATACAAAGAGAAGGATGGTGAACATCATCATCGACGAAATTGAAATCAGAAGCCTCTACCTTACACTCGATATTAGAGAAAACTAAGTCTAGAATATGGTGATATTTATTTTGCACATTATTATGCTGCTCTAAATTAAGGAAAGATTGGAAATTATTAAGAGATAGAGTGAACTGGTTTATTTTACCCAAGGTGAAATCCGGAATGTTAAAGTCACCACAAATCAAAATTTTATTATTTTCTTGAATGTCTATTCTACTTAGGGCTTCAAGAAATAGTTGAAATTCATGTACTGATACCTGAGGAGGTACGTAAAGGACAATAAGAATTAATTCCTGCTTAACACTGAACAATTTAACTCCTACAACATCTATAGTCGGAACAATATCCCCTAAATAAGAAAGATCCAGAGCAGATGATTTCAATGTATTATTAATACCTAAAAGTACCCCACCTCCTCGAGAGACGCCCATCGCTTGTAGATCCCTGTCTTTCCGATAAACAACAAAATCATGAGGAAGAAATTCAGTGTTACTAATATCACTGGCCAACCAAGTTTCAGTTAACGCTATTATATCAACATTGATTAATTCAGAAACAGAATTGTAAAAGTTAGATATTTTGGATCTTAAGCCCCGAACATTCTGGTAAATACAACACAACGAAGACGTGCAACTGGGTGTTCTTTTTAGTTTACCGAGACAATTTTGGGTGAGCCATTTATATATTTTATTCTCAGATTTGTTTCCCCGTTGCTTATTCTAATGCCAAGTTGTTCTTTGACTTGTCTGTAGGATGCGTTTTGCTTAGGAGTGCGATCGAAGGACAGAGTAATGTTGTTATAGTTTACGTTGCTTTTCAGTACCTTGGCATTACGAATAAATTTTTGAACCTCGAATTCATCATTCAAGATAACTTTTATGGGTCTAGGTTTATTACCGGGATTTTGTTGAGAAAAGCGACCCAAACGTTGAATCTTAATACCAGAAACATCAGCATCAGGCCGGACTAATTGTAAAATATTTTCAACGGCAGACTTATCTATTGCAGAACGCTGATTATTATTATTAGTAGAAATCTGTGGTTGCTCTTCAACACCAAATACGATTAAGTTTTGTTTTCGATTTTGCCTTTCCATTACTTCGTTAACGATTTCTTCAAATTGATTGCTGGGGCTCCGCTGGTCTTCATGAAGCGCGGACCGAAAAGTGGCTAGTTGAGTGTCAAAGTCTTCTTTCAGTTTCTCTATGGCAGTTGTAAACTCGGTTTGTAACGATGAAATTAAGGTTTTGAAATCTTTATACTGAGCCATATTATTGTTGCATGTATTGCACACTACTTTTATTGACCTAGATTTAGCTCGTGTTATCTTCACGTCATTTTCGG